TAATATTTGTGGTCTGCTTAGCCTGGCTCATCATAAGCACTCAGTAAGTGAGAACGGGTGTGTTTCTTATGAGTGTGTGTGATTTGCTCCCACACCGGAGCCATTCCAGGAGGAAGCAGCCAAGGCTACAGGTGCTACTGAGGCGGTGGTTTGCGGCTGTGGATTCTCAGCGTGTGTTCTCTCCATGGAGCGAAGGAGTGTGGGGCTTGGATGGAAAGCCCGCGTTCTCGACTAGGATCCACTATTTTTGTTCCTGGCACAGTCCCTCTGATCCTTCATCCATGTTTGGGAAGCCTCTGGCTCTTAGAAGATGCTCGGGTAGGAGGATGGTTGGGCTGGGTCCTGGACCAGCACCTCGGAAAGCTGCAGGCAGTAAGAGAGAGACTGGAAGTGATGAGTGGTCTGGGCAGAAAGGGGAGTGGGAGAGCTGCACCCCACGATACCCCCTCTGGGCTGGGGAGAGAAGGGAGCCTTTTCCCGGCTAGTGGACACTGCATCTCTTGGCTTTGGAGTGGAGAAAGACTCAAATCAAATCAGGTGTTTGCTAGGGAGGGTCTTTTAGTGGCAAGAAGCTGCGCTGCAATCCCGGAGGCACATGGTTCAAATCCACCAGTACTCTGCGGGAGAAGGAAGGTAAATCTCCTCCTATGCAATTAACTGCCTCTAAAAACTCTCCAGAGGGTCAGCTATGGCTGAGTTCTGACTCTACGGTACACAACAAACAACGCCCCACCCCATTTAGTTCAGACAGATGCATTTCTGACTCCTGTAAACCAGAGCTATCGCCACCTCTCTCAGAAAGCTGACATGTGTCTGCAGAAATGGTGACTTGAAGTTGCTCTGATCACTACAAAGCATGCAGCCATGACAGGGACATTGCTGTGGGTGTCACATGCCAGGCATAGCCAGGCTTGGCAGTGATAGTCCACCCAACTCCTGTCCACCTTCCTAGCTTACAGCAAATGACCACTCAGGCCCAGCCCTGCCCTCTGCCCCAGAGACAAGGCTGGCTTCCAGCAGGGGATCAGGGAGGACGTGAAGTGCAGTCAGTGTTTGCTGATGGAATGAATGACAGTTCTGTGTTTCCTGCTTTAAGTTGACCTGATCCTGTTAGATCTGGACTAATCAGAGAAAAAGGGAAAGTTGCAAAAAAAGAACAAAGTTGTAAGGAGATGCCTGCCAATAGGTGTTTTCTCATTGGCCTGTTATGAGCTGCAAGTCAGGGAGTTCTGGTGGTTTAGTGGTAAGGAGTTGTGCTGCCAACTCAGAGGAACTCAGTTCAAATCCACCAGCTGCTCTGTGGAGAAAGATGGGCAGTCTTCTTCCATGGAATGTGTTGCCTCTGAAAACCCCCTAGAGTGTCAGCTATGAGTCGGTTCTGACTTGACAGTACGTAACAATAACAACACTCAGGGAATAAGTTTATTCTTGGTTTTGCAGCCAGTTGTAGCCAACCAGACACTATAGACACTGAAGAGGAATGCCAGTCCTGGTACATGGTCTGGGTCTCCTTTGTTAACCATTTTGGGGTTTTATGCCTTTGGGGTGCTGTTGGAGCAGGAGGATGCTCTTGAGTGGAGTACCTGCCTGGTCCCAGGGGGTGAGGTGCCTGACCTGCCAAGCTCCCAGCAGAGGGGCTTTAGCCTGAGTTCAGGGCAGAGAATCTTCCTGAGGGATGATGTTCTTGTGGCAGGTGCCATGGATTCGACTCTGGCCCATAGTGACGGTATGAATAGCAACTCTGAACCTTATCTTGCTCCATCCTCACTGTCTCTGATATGCCCAAGCTCATCACTGTGCAGTCACTGTGTCAATCCTTCTTGTTGAGGGTCTTTCTCTCTTTCTCTGACCTGCCACCACCTTTCCCAGCATGATATGACAGAGCAATTAAATGCTTGCAGCTCAAATCCACTGTTTACTGACTATGAGTTCGGAACTCCAAGCAAGTAACTTTACCATTCTGTGCCTCGGTTTCCTCGTCTGGGGAGGGGGGGAAGGTTTACCTCTTAAGGATATTATGAAAGTGAGCTAAATGACTTCAGGTAGAATGCTTGGGATGATGCCTTGTGCATAGCAAAAGTTCAAAAACAATCAGTTTCTTTCGTAAAGCTTTCTATGCCTTAGGGGCCAGGTCCACACACTGTGAACTTCCCTGGCCGGAAGTTCTCCTCTGAAACAGTTTCCATGTTTGTGAAGCTCCTTCCTGTCCACACAATAATGTTCATTCTGTTTCTTGGCATTCAAGGTCAACAGCCCCCAGGTTCTAATCCATCCAGACCCTGCTTCTCTCTCTTAAAGTCCCAGTTCTTTCTCTTTATCAGCCTCACCTTCTCCTCTTGTCCTGGTGCAACCCTGCCTTCCTTCAAGGTCATCTGTCACCTCCTCCAGGACCCTGGCCCCATTTACAGTGTCCTAGCTCTAGCCAGCCAGACCCTGGATTCTCTCTCAGATGGAGTCTGACTCTCTTCTTTGCCCCTGTGCACAGTAAGACTCATTTGACAGGTACTGGGTGATGGGGTGAGTGAATGAATGATGGGGGAGAGAAGTGTGGGAACACTTGATGCTTCAGAGCCTGATCTAAGCTTCAGAGAAACACTCAACTCCCATCAGAATTCAGAACAATAGGCAGGAAGGGAGACAGACTGTTGCCAGTTGTTTGTCATAGTTACAGGATGTGAAGCTTTGGAACAGAGAATTGTTTGAGCATCAGAGAATAGTTTTATTGCTGTGGCCCAGTCCTATGCTTGGGTCATTTACTGCCTGAACTTTCATCTGAGAGTTCAGGGCTTGATAAACTTTTGACTCCCTTAATGATTATTTTCTGGCATCCAGTCACTACTAGAACAAGAATCATCCTAAATTTTCTACATAAATGGGAATTGGAAGGGTCTACGTCTGAGTGCCCTATCTCTCCCATGGTGACTAGCGCAGATGGGTCAGGCAAGGTCCCTGCCCAGCAGATCACAGGGCAGAGGGGATGTAAAGCAGCACTGGATAGCATCTGTAGTGCATATGGTGCATCATGCTGAGGGAACCATGATGGGTGGATGGATAACCAGCTGGGGCAGGGTTTAGGGGGAGCCTCATGGTGCATGCACCTTCAGTGGTGAACTCTGAAATAAGGTGGCATTTGAGACATTGTAGAATGTGCGTAGGTCCCTGGGTGTTGCTAACAGTTAAAGGGTTCACTGTTGAAAGGCTGTTAGTTCAAATCTACTCAGAAGTATATAGGGTCACTGTGAGTTGGACGTGATTGCATGTATTAATTAATGTCAAGTTACATTAATTCCTACTATGTTGTTATGTGTTGTTGAGTTGGAACCAAGTCATAGCTGACCCTTTAGTGGGTTTTTAAAGGCTCTAAATTGTCTGGGAAGAGATTGCCCATCTTTCTCCCTGAGAGCAGCTGGTGGAGTTGAACCTTTAAATTCGTGACTTTGGGTTGACAGTGCAACTCCTTCCCCACTAGGCCACCAGAGCTCCCTTACTTTCTCACTATTAACCACTCGGTTAACAGCAATTAATAACAGTAACAATGACAATTATTTGGTAGAAGTCCTTGGGTACTGCAAACAGCTAGTGCATGTGGCTGCCAACTCAAAGGTTAGTTGTTCATATCTACTTAGAGGTACACAGAAGAAAGTTTTGATGTTATACTTCTGAAAAATAGCTGTTGGATATCTTGCTGTGGGCTCTAAAGCAAGGAATGGGAGATCCGGGGGGCAGGGAAACCAGAGTATCAGAAAGGGAACAAGTAAAATGCAATGGAGGAGAATATTGACTGTGAAATATGTAATACCACTGAACACATTGCATAGAAACTGTCAAATAGCAACCTAAATTCACTTTGCAAACTTGAACCATAAACACAGTAAAATATTACTTAAGAGGAAAGAGATGCTATGGAGCACAGTTCTAGTCAGACACATGCGGAGCCACCAGCCTGAGTTGGAATTGACTTGAAGACAACGGGAAGGATATTTGGGAAAGAGAGTGGAGGCATCGTGGGGGTAAGGGCCCTTGATGTGGGACACGTGAGTCAGCCCTGGGTCTGAGAGAGAGGGCTGCTTGGATGAAGAGAGGAAGAGTGGGAGAGGAAGTTGGTAGAGAACAGCAATAGAAAAAGTATTAGCACAAGCTTATATAAAGAGAGCTCTGGTGGCCTAGTGGCAAGACACTGGGCTGCGAACCCAAAGATATGCAGTATGAGTCCACCAGCTGCTCCACAGGAGAAGCATGGACAATCTCCTATCACATGATTAACTACCTCTGAAAACCCGCTGGAGGATCAGCTGTGGGTGTATTCCGACTCGATACCACATGGCTATCTGTATCTGCTGACCCTGGCTGCTGGCGTTTCTCTAGGCATTCAAGCCACCAGTTCCAAACTGTTTAGATTTAAAGTTGAAAAGATCAGGCCAAATATGCTCAAAATATACTAATTTCTTAAAAATGGCAAAAAGTTGCAACAAATCCTCTTCAAACTCAATGGTTCACAGCAGCAAGGTTGTCGGGCAAAGGCAGGTCCTTTGTATGGACCCATGGCACACAAAGGCATGTCTGGAGTGGAGTGTGAGTGAGGTCATCTTGCTGATCCTCGGGACACAGACTGCCCTACACCGAGGATGATGTCACCTGATACTTCCCCTGATCCTCATCCTGGGAGAGAGGCAAAGCAGAACACTGATATCATCCCCATTCTGCAGATGAGACAACTGAGGCCTAGAGAAGGGAAGGGATTCATTCCAGTTCCTCTGAGCCTGTAGCTCTGCGCTGGGTGGGGTGTCCATTCCTGCAGACTGATTGTCATTGGCTGCTGGGGGCTTGCTCATCCCCCAAGGGCACTGGGGTAGGTACAGTGCCAGCTTATTCACCACCCCTGCAAGCTTCAGTCTTGGTGGGGGGCCTGGAGGCAGCAGCCTCACAAGGATTTTTGCAAGGAGGGGAGGTGGAGAACAAATTCCATCTTTGTGATTGTCCACAGGCTGACTCTTGGTTCTGGCAAAGATGAAGAAGTGGGTGAGCTCAGACTCGGGGGAGACTGAAGATTCTCCCCAAGAGGCCACCTGCTCTGAACCCCCTGATGGTGACCCTAACTCCAAGCCACCGCCAGCCAAGCCCCAGCTCTTCACAGCCAGGAGTCGGCCCCGGCTCTTTGGAAAGGGTGATTCAGAGGAGGTCTCCCATATGGATTGCTCGCATGAGGAAGCTGAGCTCGCTTCCTGCCCAGCCATCACCGTCAGTCCTGCTGTCGCCCAGAGGCCTGGGGATGGCCCCACCTGTGCCAGGTAAGTCTGCATCTCGTGCCCGTCCCCTTTCCAACCAGGAACCTAACTGGCTTTGCAGGCTGTGGCCCCAGCCACAGAGGCCACATGTGACGATGTGACATATGATGAGATCCCAGAGCTGGAGAACTGGGGAGCCTTCAGGGGTCATGTGGTCCAGTGTCTGCACCAGGACAAATGGTTACGTTGAGCTGGCTGCCAGCTTACTTCTATACACACTCGCCTAGAATGTTTGCTCACCAGCCAGGGTAGTCAGAAAACACAAAACAACTCCTGTGAGAAACCATAGGCTCCCCTCCTTCTCCAAGGCAGGGCAGGTGGACTTTGGGGGTGCAGTGAGGACCACTTTATTACTGAGCAGGGGATCATACACATCTCTACCTGGACTCCTCCTAGGCTGCATGCCTCCAGAGCAGGCAGAGAAGCAAATTTCTAGATGGTTCTGTGAGCAGGGCAGGAGGGTATGCATATTGCCATTCTCTGTTACATAAGCTTCTTGCACAGTCCCCTAGACTAAGGAGTGGGTGCTACATAATTAGATAAAAAGAAGTACCTTATTATGTAGATAAAATTAAGGTTTGCAAGAAGACTGACGAAAGTTCCAATATTGCCCCTCCCCATTTCACAGTATTCCTGTTAACGTTTCATTCTGGTATCATTTGTTACAGTTGATGAGCCAATATTGACACATGAAGCCCCAAACCCAAGCTTATTGCCATCTAGTCAGTTCCAGGCCATAGTGAGTCTAAAGGGGAAAGTATCAGTAAAGGCTATAAGTCTTTTTTTAAAAAATTTTATTTTATTATACGTCTTTATTGAAGCAGACTGCTACATCTTCCATCTGCAGAGCTGGAATTTGAAGGGTCAATTTTTTGGGTAGGAGTTGAGTGCTTATCTGCTGTACCACCAACATATTAATACATTACTGAGGAGCAATGATGTCAGTTTGAAGACTATGGTGCACCTGATTCAAGCCATGGTCTTTTTGATCACTTGCTGTGTCTCTGAGTGCTGGACAATGAATAAAGATGACAGAAGGGGAATTGATGCCTTTGAGCTGTGGTGTTGGAGAAGAGTGCTGAAGATATCATGGACTGCCAAAATAATAAATAGATATGTCTTGGAGAAACTGCAGCCAGAACGCTCCTTGAAGGCGAAGATGATAAAGCTTCATCTCACATACTTTGGGAATGTTGTTAGAAGATGTAATCTTTGGCAAAGGACATCATGGAGGGTAGGCAAAAGAGAGAAAGACCCTTAATGAAATTGAAAGTTACTGCAGCAGTGTGCTCAAGGATGTCAGAAATGATAAGGATGGCACAGGATTCAGACCTGTTATTTATAGAGTCACTATAAATCATACTCCCTACTCTGATTCAGGTCATGGTCTTTTCAATCACTTGCTGTGCATCTGAGAGCTGAGCAATGACTAAGGATGACAGAAGAATAATTGATGCTTCTGAGCCGTGTTGTTGGAGAAGAGCACTGAATTATCTCATGAACTGCCAAGAGAGCAAACAACTATGTCTTGGAAAAATTACAGCCAGAGTGCTACTTGGAGGCAAAGATGATACAGCTTCATCTCACATATACTGGGCATGTTGCTAGGAGAGGCTGTTCCTTGGAGAAGAATATCATGCTTGGGAAGATGGAGGATCGGTGAAAGAGAGGAAGACCCTCAACCAGGTGGATTGGCACAGTGACTGCTGCAATGGGCTCGAGTGTGTCAGAAAGTGTGACGATGGCACAGGATAGAACAGGATTCAGATCTGTTGTTTATAGAGTCGTAAAAAGTCATACTTGACTTGATAGCAGTTAACCACCACCACAACAACAATAACAACATAGTTCACAGTGAGAAGTGATAAGGTACTTGGTTGACAACTGGTTGGTTGAACTCATGGCCAAAACTCCCCAGCTGGACCCAGGGAGAAAGATGTGACAGTCTGCCTCTGTAAAGATTAAACCCCAAGGGGAGGTGTGCACGGACATGAAGTGAGGATACGACCAGTGCTTCAGTCTCTGGTTTGCCAAGAAGTTCCTCAAAGGGGACGGCTCCGCGGACCCGTGCTCCGACCTCTTCAAGCGCTATCTGCAGTGTGTGCAGAAAGCAATAAAGGAGAAGGAGATTCCTATTGAAGGACTGGAGTTCTTGGGCTATGGCAAAGAAAAGTCTGAAAGCTCTTCTTGACCTTGACAGTCACCTTGAAAATGGACTCCTCAAGTCATCAGCAAATGGAACACTGGATTTTGCCCATTAAGAAAGCCATCAATTTGATGAGGAATTTAGGAGAGAATTTTATTCCTTCTCGAGGTATTCCTCTTACCTGCTCTGACATTTTATAAGAACTGAATGTGCTAAAACTAAAAAAGCTTTAAATGTGTATACGGAACGATAAACTTTGTCAGGATGGCCAGGGTTGCCTGACCCCTTGGATTATATTGCAAAGGATAGTAGGTACCCTGTCCTGGGGTCACAGTTGATGGAAGCAGTTGGTTAGGACTTCTCTCAGGAATCAATGTTCTGAAGAGAGATTCAACTTGGGATGGCAATTATATTTTTATATAGTAATTTAATGGTGAAGATTGCTGTGGGCAAGAGAAAGACATCTTTTAACAGACTTACAACCCTGACTTAAGAAGTGTCAGATTTGAAAGCTTCAGCAGTGTGTTGCATTGAACACCAGAGCTCCAAGTTACAACATAGTTCAGGGATTGAGATTCTTAGAGTAGCTAGGAAGGAAACCCCTAAATGTCAAAGATGGTATGTCAGTATATATATATATATATATAATGTCAAAATGCTGCATCTAGTTAAATGGGTGAAAGGCTTTGCTTTATTTGCCTTCTTTTCTTGCCTAGTAATGCCTATAATCATGAGGCAGAAGAAATGATATTTCATTTAAAAAAAAAGATTAAACCCCAAACCAGAACAAACTCAAAGCTGTGCAGTTAGTTCCCTCTTGTGGCAATCCTCTGTTGGGTTTCCAAAGCTGTGCATTTTTACAAGATTATATTGGTTATTTTTCTCTCTTGGGGCTGCAGGTAGATTTGAACTGTTGACCTTTTGGTTAGTAATGCAACTTACAATACATTATGCCATCAGGACTCCTTTCTTTTCTTTTTTCTCCTTTCCCCCTTTTTTATTTCCCCCCCCACTTTTAAAAATTAATTTTAACACAAGTTTACAGAGACTTTGGATTTCCATTCATTCATTTTTATAAGGACTCCTTTCTATAAAGAATCTTGCTTGGAACTCCTGGGGCAATTCCATTCTGTTCTGTAAGGTCGCTGTGCCCTGGAATTGACTCAGCAAGAGTGGGTATGGTTCATGGTAGGATTAACTCTTTGTATCAAAAGGAATTTTTCATGGGACTCCAGGCACGGAGGAAACCATATGACAATGGTCTAGACAAATGCTTAGTGCCATGTGTCCACCATTATAAATATCATGTGGAGGCTTTACTTCCCTAAAATGCTCTGTGCTCTGCCTCCTGCATATCAGAGATGGCGAGAATGGTGCAGCACAGAGGAAGGTTCAGATCTATTGTTCATAGGATCTGTATAAGTAATCGTCGATGGCACCTAACAATAACAATAACAATAACAATAACAATAACAATAACAATAACAATAACCTCCTGAGCCCCCTGGTCCCCACTGATCTTCTGGTTTGCCTGTGGGTTTAACCATGTCCCCTTGCCAGACTCCACAGGCCTGTGGGCTGAGGAGAGCTGAGGCCACGGGACAAGGTGGTTTGCACACCGCCCACAGGCAGCTCTCCCAGGACTCTATCACCCCCGACATGGAGAAGATCCTCTATGACCGCAGGAGGATCTTTGAGGCGGTGGCTCAGAATAACTGTGAGGAGCTGGCGAGCCTGCTGCTTTTCCTGCAGAAGAGCAAGAAGCATCTCATGGACAGCGAGTTCAAAGGTGAGGCCTGTTCCGGGAGGGGCTGGGTTCCTGGGAAGGACCCCTCACCACCACACCTGCCCTGACGCTCGCTGTGGCCCTGCAGACCCAGAGACAGGGAAGACGTGCCTGCTGAAAGCCATGCTCAACCTGCACGACGGCCACAATGACACCATCCCCCTGCTCCTGGAGATCGCACGACAGACCAACAGCCTGAACGAGCTGGTCAACGCCAGCTACACGGACAGCTACTACAGGGGTGAGAGGCGGGGTGGGGCTCCAAGCTCTGAACACTGGTGTCAGCTGCTTAACCAGTGTCTCCTAGTCCTAGGGGAATCTCTGCCTCCCTCACCTGTGGACCTAGTGTCATTGCAAGAGTCTCTGCCTTTCCCATCTACCATCCTGTCCCCTGGCCCTTGAGTATCCCTGCCCAGTCTGCCGAGTCAGCATTTCTTGCCCCTAGAAGCCATTGCCTCTCTCACTGCTGCCATTCCTTGCCTCTGGTCATTTTTTCTTCTTCCCAGTGTTAAATGGGGAGCTTGAGCCTGCAAGGAGCAAGCTGGCTCTAGACTTTTCCAAGTCCTTATTTCTTTGCCTCCAATTCTTACGTGTCCAAGGACAGAAGAAACCACAGACATGCCTTTGTAGGAGGAAGCCTCTGGCAAATTTGATTCTTGCGGTTCCCAGTGTGGGAGCCCTGGCTCCAAGCGTCTTCCACCTGCCTCAGTGACTCTCTTGGCCCCCTATGATGATCCTGGCTTGGTGTTCTTCAATGAGAACTTAAAGGTTAAGTTCCCCTTGCAGCAACCAGAGCCCACCTGGGTCCTTCCCCAGCACTTCTCTGGGCAGAATGTTGGTCACAAAGCCAACATCTCAAAAAAAAAATCTACAAAGCCAACATCTCATGTTCCCAGGCCAGACAGCACTTCACATTGCCATCGAGAGGCGGAACATGACATTGGTGACCCTCCTGGTGGAGAACGGGGCGGATGTTCAGGCAGCTGCCAATGGAGACTTCTTTAAGAAAACCAAAGGACGGCCTGGCTTCTACTTTGGTAGGGAGGCCCAGTGGCTTTTGAACAATTATTAAGGGGGAGCTGGATGCCCTGGGTAGTGCCAAGGATGGATGGGATTGACTGTTAACAAAAAGGTTGGTGGTTCAAGTTCACCCAGAGGTTCTTTGGAAGAAAGACCTAGTGATCTATTTCTAAAGCATTAATCATTAGAAACTCCATAGAGCATTGTTCTACTCCTAGAGTTAGAAGTAATTTAACAACAGCTGATGAGGGGACGCTTGGGCGGATACAGGAGTTGGTGGCCTTGAGGACCCCAGGCTGTGCGCCCAGCTCTGTGTCCTGTGTTGACTGCAGGTGAGCTGCCTCTCTCCCTGGCTGCGTGCACCAACCAGCTGGGCATCGTAAAGTTCTTGCTGCAGAACTCCTGGCAGCCGGCTGACATCTGCGCTCGGGACTCGGTAGGCAACACGGTGCTACACGCGCTGGTGGAGGTGGCCGACAACACGGCTGACAACACCAAGTTCGTGACGAGCATGTACAACGAGATCCTCATCCTGGGGGCCAAGCTCCATCCGACGCTGAAGCTGGAGGAGCTCGTCAACAAGAAGGGGCTGACGCCACTGGCTCTGGCCGCCAGCAGTGGGAAGATCGGGGTGGGCCTCAGCTGAGTGTGCAGATGTGCTGAGAGGGGTGTGTGTGTGTGTGTGTGTGTGTGTGTGTGTGTGTGTGTGTGTATGAGAGGCCTGCACACCTCAGTGCTGTGCCAGCACCTACGTGCAGAGCTCAGCCCTGCCTGGAGGGTGGGAAGGGAGCGGGGCAAGGGGCTGGTGGAGTCTGTCAGAGACATTGTGAGGGGCTAGAAGAACTCAGGATGGTAGGTGTGGCCTATTTTGAATTGCAGCTCTGAGTATCATAGAGAAAAGATAAGTTTATGTGTGGGTTGTTTTTTGTTTGGGGGGGTGTGTGTACGCACGAGTGTGCTGGGGCCTGAGGGAGGGACAGGTTACACCTGATGTGAAATAGGAAAAGTAGTTGTAGTGTGTTTCCTAGGAAAGGACAGACTTTTAATGATAGAAGGGGAGTTTCGGGTGGGCAGGCCCAAGCCAAAACATGTAGATGACATTGAGCCATAGAAAGTGGATGGCAGGGTTGGGCTACTGGGAATTGGATGGGGGCAGTACTATAGTATTGCAGAAGCTCATCCACACTTGTATTGAGTCTCTTAGGATAAAGTGTTACTGGTTGCTCTTGTATATGCCTGACCTCATGGTGACCTCATGCACAAGAGGACAAAGCACTGGCTGATATGTATGTGATTGCCATGGTGATGGCTGAGACTGTTGTAATCCATAGGGTTTTTACTGACTGATTGTTTAGAACTAGACGACCAGGCCCTTCATTCTAGCCCATCTTAAATCTAGAAGCTTCCCTGAAACCTGTTCAACATTATAGCAAAAGGCAGACTTCCCCCAACAGATGAGTGGTGGCAGTACATGTGACGTATCAACTAGGAATCAAACCAGAGTTTCCTGCATGAAAGAGAATTCTACCACTCAACCTTGGGATGAGGAGCCTGGATTTGTGCCTTGACTTCATTTCCTGGATCTTTCCTGATTCCTTCTTGCTTTCCTTGATATTTGCTAGAACGGAGCCACTTATAATCTTTCACTCTAAGATGGTAGATAGAGATAGCAGGGAGCCTGATGTGACCTGGTAATGGGCCTAGGTGGCTGTGATGAGGTCTGAGGCTGTGGGAAGATTGATATTGATGGTGGCTAGAAGGAAGCTGGGTGGGAGTCAGTGTCTCTTTTGGGACTTGGATGGAGCCCCTGTTGAATTTGGAAATAGAGTTAATCTGGGAGCAGAGCTGATGGGCTGGATGGGTAGCAGTTGGTGGCTGGACCTTGGCCTGAGTTCTAATAAGCTCTTTACCTCATTGGCAGGTCTTGGCCTACATTCTCCAGCGGGAGATCCACGAGCCCGAGTGCAGGCATTTGTCAAGGAAGTTCACAGAGTGGGCTTATGGCCCCGTGCACTCCTCGCTCTATGACCTGTCTTGCATCGACACCTGTGATAAGAACTCGGTGTTGGAGGTGATCGCCTACAGCAGCAGTGAAACCCCTGTGAGTGGATGGGTGACAGGGCACAGCCAGGGAGGGCTTCAGGTGCTACTATAGCCTGTCACCCCTGCTCTGACCCCATCAATCCTTGACCCAGCTCTGCTGCTTTCTCATTGACCAAAACCTACTGCCTAATACCTAGGCCTCCTCTCTCCCATAATCCCCACTGACTGCTTTCTTTAATTGCACAAGCAGTGTATGATTATCTTATCGTTGTTGTTGTTGTTATGTGCCATCGAGTCGCTTGCAACTCATAGTGACCCTATGTACAAGAGCTCTAAATGCTGTTCTATCCTGTGCCAACCTCGCTGTCTCAAACACACTCATTCCCAGCACTCCAGTCACAGAATCGATCCATCTCACCAAAGGTCTTCCTCTCCTTCGCTGCCCCTCCACTGTGCCAAACATGATGTCCCTCTCCAAGGACCAGTTCCTCCTTTCAATATGCCCAAAACATGTCAGACGAAGTTTCAGAATCCTTGACTCCAGGGAACACTCTGGCTTCACCCTCTCCAGGACAAACCTGTTTGTTCTCCTAGCAGTCCATTGTATTTTTAACACTCTTCTCCAGCACCACAGCTCAAAGGCATCAATCTGCTTTCTATCAACCCTATTCACTGTCCAACTCTCTGATGCATAGCACATAATTGCGAAGACTATAGCCCGGATCAGGTGTACCTTAGTCTCCAGTCTGACATTGTTGCTCTTCAGTACTCTTGAGAGGTCCCTCGCAGCTGACTTTCCCAATGCAATTCATCTCCTGATTTCCTGGCTGCTGTTACCAAGAGTGTTGACTGTGGAGCCAAGTAAATTAAAGCTGTTAACTATCTCAATCTCTTCACCATCCATGTTGATGCTGCCAATTGGCCCAGTGGTGAGAATCTTTGTAGATGGATCTCCGATGAGATCCTATCGTACAAATGTAAATATTTCAGTAGAACACAGATAAAAAAGAACCCATTTTAAATTTAATAAAAATATAACTTCTTTTTTCTATAAAATACCTATAAGAAATACAAAAATCAGTTTTATTCCATTAACAGCATATTTTGCGAATAGTTTTATTTCAGTTCATATGAGTTTGCCTTATTAAAAAAAATTATTGCATAGTACTCCACAACATGGAGAGACTTGGCAGTTTGAAGCTACCAATGACTCTCAGGGAGACAGTCCTATTTATAACCTCAGAAACCTACTGGAGGGTCAGCTATGGGTTGGTTCTGACTTGAAAGTCATTTGAGCTTTTTCTCTCTGAAGGCTCTTATGGGCCTAGAGAACATACTTGTTATGGAATTCCAGGGGGCAGATCCAGGACCACTGGGAAGTGGAAAAGACCAACTTTATCACAAGAAATAAATCTTCTCATGCTTAGTATCATTACAAAAGCTTATAGAAGGCAGTAAGGAGCTTAATCACGGAAAAGGAACTTGTTTGAGGCATCTGAAGCCTTAGAGAAGCTAATCAGATTTCAACTTATCTATACTAGAGTGACTTACACCTTAACAAGTGTCTGGATAGCCATCATTTGCCTCAAAACAGAAGTGTGCTCCCATTCGCTTCAGAAAAGCCTTCCGAAGACTCCAGGAGCCTCCCCTCAGCCCCTCCCAAGGGGACTACTTACAGGCTTTGTCTGCACCAGCCTCTTCTCATACTGTGAGAAAGATAAAAAGATATAAGCTCTCAGGAATGCGTTATTAGAGATAATGGGTAACACTTAAGAAGTCAGGGGGCACATAAGCAGGTCCAATTTCACCCCTCTTTCACTGTACACATGGGAGACTGAGGCTGGAGAGCTTGAGACCCACACAGAGTCCCTGCTGAGCTGCACCAGGCCGAAATCGCTGGCTGTCTGCAGGCCCAGAAGGCTGTGACCTGCAGCTGTGCTGTAGGCTGAGGCCTTGACTAGACATGTACAGGAGGTGGGTGTGCAGAACTCTGCCTGCTGCTGGCTGATGAAGCAATGATGAAGCTCCTGGTCTGGAGAGTGAACTTCACTTCTCTTTGCTCCCCTTAGAATCGCCACGACATGCTCTTGGTGGAGCCCTTGAACCGACTTCTGCAGGACAAGTGGGACAGATTTGTCAAGCGAATCTTCTACTTCAACTTCTTCATCTACTGCCTGTATATGATCATCTTCACCATGGCCGCCTACCACAGGCCTGTGGATGGTTTGGTGCGGCCCGAGGCTCAGGCCTTGAAAGGGGCTGAGGGAAGGGCACAGATGTCCCCCCTGACTCTGCCCCAGACTCCTTCTAGCCTTGCTGGAGGGATGCGAAGACCACCTGATAATCCTTATATGCCTGCGTATGGTCTCTCCTCTGGGTTCTCCTAGTGACCTGCTCTTTCCTACTCACAGCCCCTCTCCTCTGGCTTGGCGGCTCTGCCGGGCTGAGTGTGTGGTTGTTAATGGTCCTGGCTGCAGAAGGATGGAGGAATTAAGGCTCAGGCAGCAGCCTCGGTGTCTGCAGGGCCAGGGATGGTATAAGCCCTGAGCCCATTGCCACTCTGTTTGCCTGCTTTTTTTGTCCCTCTGCTTGCTACCTTGCTCATGGTCCATTACTTGGATACAGGCTTTTGAGCACATCTTCTATGCCAGATTCTGGTTCACCTTTTAAATCTGATTGAGGCCAGAATTTTTCCTAACTGGAAGCTGTGGTCTCCACCAGGGTTTTGAACTGAGTCTTCACCATTTATTACCCTGGACATTTCATTTGCTGCCTTTATTCCCAGGGTTCCTTGCCTATAAATGGGTTGAAAAGATCAGGCCAGACCTGATTTCTATTCACTTTAGTAAGACCATATAATGGCTTAGTTTTCACAGAGAAGAGAGATGTGTTAATAATAAGACAGGATAGTAAAAGGACAACTGCAGTTGAATCATTCTGCATGGTGATCCCATGTGCACGCTTAAGAAACGAGTAATGGGCTGAAAAAAAAAACCCCACTCTGGAAAACAGTGGCTGGAAACAAGGAGGAAATGTATGAATGTGGGCGATGTCTTTCTTTCCACCACCAATGGGAACCTGGAACAATCTTGTTGGCCAGGTACTGTGGCAGCAGCAGGATTCACATTGATTGGGTCTATACAGAGCTTCCACCTCTACCATCCCTTGCATCTCAGTCATACGGAACTCAGGGCTGGTGCACCGCCTTGGACACAGCCCAACACTGTAAGGATGCTCCATTTGGTCCCTGGAAGGGAATCAGGTCCCATAGAGAGGCCTTTTTGCAGGTGTCCCATGATATAGTAATTTTTTTTACAATATATTATTTTAACCTGTGTATCTTTTTCTCCTGATAAGAGCTGAGCTTTTGAGCCACAGGTGGTGTCTTAATCACAGAGCTTGTGGTGAGGAGCCAGTGAGCCGATTACAATTTATAGCCAGTCAACACATAGCCACCCTGCAAACCACAGATCAGAACCTTGCTCCGTCTTATGCCGTCGTCACCATCTCTGATGTGCTTGAGGTCACTGTTATAGTCGTTGTGTCAGTCCACCTTGTGGAGGACCTTCCTCTAACTCTCTGACCCTCCACTTTTCCCATCTTAATGTCTATTTCCAAGGACTGGCCTCTCTTGACAACAAATCCAAAGTGTGTGGTAAATGTTTGTCTATAGGATGACTGAATGAGTCACCAACTTCTCTCCATCTTACAGCCTCCGTTTAAGCTGGAAGACATTGGAGACTATTTCCGAGTCATTGGAGAGATTCTGTCTGTGTTAGGGGGAGTCTACTTTTTCTTCCGAGGGGTAAGCATTCTTTGACAATCTGCGAGTTTCCATCATCACTAAAACACAAAACCCAGGCAATTACTCATTGCTCACTTGTTTGTGTTTTGTTCATCAGATGCTTAGTGGCTTTGCTTGAGGAACTGAGAGACACACAGTTGAGAGCCCTTCGGGCTTCCATAGTGGGAGTGGGATTGGTCAGGGGTCCCCACAGCCAGTTGCCCTTGGGGATATGGGCAGCCAGGGTTTTGTGTGGTGAGGTCTCCAATGAATGTAATATTTAATTATGGAAGTTGATTGGAAAGCTCTTAAGTTAATTGAAATAGTTCACTAGGTCTCATAATAATAAAGCAACATGTATAGTGGAACATTTTAACTCAAAACTCATAAGTATATGCATATCCCTCAGCCATTCTTCTGACGCATGGCAATCTTTGCTTCAAAGTTGGGACCACCATTTGGCATATCCTATTGTTCTACTTGCAAATGTCACATTTATAACACATCATTATGCTATTTTATAGAGGAAAAATAATTTAGACACAAAGAAGTCCATATTCAGAATTTGAAATTGGTGTGAGGTTTTTTCCTTTGTTTCCAATCTTCTTGGTTCAAATGATATCCAACCCTTCTCCTCCCTTTTTATTGTGGATGGAGTGAAAACATTATAAAACATGCTGATCTTTCACTTCATCAATGTGTGTGTGTGTGTGAGATTCACTTTTTGTTGATTCTTTCATTGAACTATATCCTAACACAATCAACTAGTTTTATTTTCATACACATAGTATATAGATACATTATAGCAATCAGTGAAGAAGTTGCAGGAAGTACAGCTTGCACAGAAATGTTCTTGGCAAAGGAAGGATTAACTGGAGAGAGACAGCAGGAGGGTATGAGACTCCTGGCATTTAGTGGACTGTGGGGACCAGTCCCAATATTTTCAAGGAGTAGAGAGCACGGAATAATTTGGTGGGTTCCTGGGTGGTGCAAACAATTATGTCATTCACTGCTAACCAAAAGGTTAGTGATTTGAACCCAGCTAGAGGTACCTCATAAGAAAGAGCCGGTGATCAGTTTTTGAAAACCCTGTTGAAAGTTTTACTGTGAAGGCTAGGAAGTTGCATGAGTTGGAATTGATTCTACTTCAAGTGGTGAATTTAACGGAGGGTAGTTATAAGGGGAGAGTACTGACTATCCCATGAAGTGCCAAAAGAATGAACAGGTCTTTCCTGAAGGAAGTGCGACAGGAGTGCTCCTTAGAGGCAAGGGTGGGGAAACTTCATCTCACATACTTCGGGCATGCTGTTAGGAGGGACTGATCCTTGGAAGGAGACATCATGTTGGGAAAAGATGGACAGTCAAAGATAAAAAGGAAGACCTCCAAAGAGATGGATTGACACTGAAAATAACCACAGGCTCGAGCATACTGGAGATGGTGAGGAAGGCCCGGGATAGGGTCAGATTTAGATTTGCTGTTCAGAGGATTGCTATGAGATAGAGTGAACTCTGATTTCAGTTTCTCTAAGATAGACCTATGTGTCCTTGTGGCTGTTGATGTTGTTGATACCTACAAATAAAACAACAGTTAAAAGATTTTTATACTTAAAGGAAATGAGGGGGAAGGAGTACAAATTGGAAAGAAGACATTACCCAAGTCTCATCATTCAAATATAGCAATTGGTAACATTTTAGTTCTAGATTTTCCTTCTAGTCTCTGTTGCTGCGTGTAATTTGAATTCCTTTTTTTTACTCTCAGATCTCTTCTAAGTCATGTAAACATTACCCTAGGATACTCTCCCCTAATAACTACTGCGTACCCCACCTCACTCCTGTGTCCCATCATGGGGCTACACAGGAAGCATCCCAGTGTTCACCATGCAGTCACATCTAATGTTCTTGGGATCATTTCTCTGTCTGTAGATCCAGTATTTCCTGCAGAGGCGGCCTTCGATGAAGACCTTGTTTGTGGACAGCTACAGTGAGATACTTTTGTAAGTGACACTTTGATACTTAGTGTTTTGACAGCTGTCTTGGATCCTTTAATCCCTTCCTGAGTTGACAAAAGCAGGCTGGCCCTCGTCCATTGTCTCCTTTATTTTGCCTGGCACCCAGGAGGTCCTCAGTAAGCATGTGGAAGCCATGATGGAGAGCACACAATCAACATTTTTTAAACAATTTTTTTTATTTGGAAAATAAACTCAGAAAAACAGACATCAATCAATCAATCAGTTAGTTTCTACATGTACTGTTTAGTGACATTGATTTATTCTTTGAGTCCTGTAGTCGTTTTCATCCTCCTTTTTGGAATTGTTCTTCTCCCATTAACATCAATTCATGACATCTAAGGTTCTTATCTGATCTTTTGATTTGATATTGTCAATTTGATTTCATGTAGATAGTTCTTAAAAGAACATAATACTCAAGGTAGACTTTTTTCCCCCCACTGCTGTTGTTGCTATGTGTCGTCGAGTAGAGTACTACTCACAGTGACTCTAAGAATCATGGTTCTGAACTCTGTCCTATCCTGTGCCATCCTCACCCTCTCTGACACTCTTGAGTCTATTCCTGCAGTTACTGTGTCAATCCATCTTGGCAAGGATCTTTCTCTCTTACATGGACACCTCCATTTTTCCAAGCATGAGGTGTCTCTGCAAGGACTGGCTTCTCCAACAAAATTCCCAGAGTATGTGAGAAAAAGCAAGTATCTTTGCTTCCAAGGAGCACTCTGGTTTCAGTTTCTCCAAGATAGACCTATGTGTTCTTGTGGCAGTTGATGGTCTACTTGGTCCTTGTCTCCAGCACCACAACTCAAAGGTATCAATTCTTCTTCTGTTGTATTTACTCATTGTCCAACTTTCAGATGCATAGCAAGCAATTGAGAAGACCATAGCTTGAATCAGACACACCTTTACTAGTTAAGCTTGAATATTATTTGGTTTTAAAAAGATTTCAGGGGGTATTTGTGTTTCAAGGCTTAAAGATTAACTGTTGCCTCAGGGCAATAGTTTCAGAGATTCATCCAAACTTTGTGGCTCCAGGAAATCTGGAGTTCATGAGAATTTGAAGTAAGTTCTTTTCCTAGTTTTCTTTCCTTTTTGATCAGAAATCTTTTCTGGAATCTTTGATCTAAATATTCAGTGATGGTAGGTGGGCACCATGCAGCTCTTCTGGTCTGGTGAAGGGAACAAATTCCTGGAGACCAGCTACCACACATTCTATATTTTCTTCCTGTTCCTGACTCCCCTTCCTCTGCTGTAAACACTTTCCAGGGGAATGAATACTGGATGTCCACTTTGTGCCAGGTGTATGCCAGATGTTGGGATCTATTGGCCTAACAAACCTATTTCATGGGCTCCACAGACATTTTGGAATATAGAATCTTTTGCTGTGGGAAACTATACTGTCCACTGTAGGATGTTTAGTAGCATCTTTGACTGCTAAACACCCACTAGATATTAGTACCCACCAGCCACTTTTCCCACCTCACACCATCAAATACATCTCCAGATAACTGCCAGATGCCCCCTGGAGCATCATCCTGGGTTGAGAACTACTGCAGAAGGACAAGACATAAACACAGACAGTTATGAAACAAGGTGGATGCCACAGAACATGCTTCCTTCATAAAACAAGCTGATGTGCAAAGGATTCTTCCAGACTGGAAGGGCCTTCTTCTGGTCTCTCTGCTCGCCAAATCCTTCTCTGTTCCAGTTTCCCCTCATTCCCAGAGCCTCCCTTTTTCTTTCCTGGCAAGTTATAAATAATTGATTTCTAAACCTATTACAATTCATTTATCCTTAGGGATCATACGCTTTGTCATTTCTCCTCAGTCTAGAAGTACTTGCACTTTCGCCTCAGAGGGCAAAGTCAAGAGGTTGAGGAAACTTGGCTGGGGTCCACCGTGAACTAGCAGACCTAGGATGAACAAGTAGAGCTGAGATCATTGAGAAGAGATCTGCCATAGGGTCATCCTGATGTCTTCCATGTGATTCAATGCTTCCTCTTGGGTAGGCCCTATGGAACCAGGTTAGTGAGTTGACATAGCCTCTGGGCCTGATCTTGAATTTGAAGATGCGACTAGCAGGATTTGTTCTTCAGAAGAGGACGGCCAGTCCTTGCTCACGAGTCCATATTCTTAGGTCATCTGCTGTCCAGTTATGCCATTCTTCCTGGCGTCTGGGCAGGGAGGCTGTTGGGACTAAAATACTTATCAACTTTTTTTCATTATCATTCCTCCAAAAGAACCTTTGTAGACATTTCGCGCCCCCCCCCCCAATCTCTTCCTTGACATTTTAATACCACACATAAACTGTATGTTTATGAACTTTATTTGTATCTTGGCTTTATGCAACTTGAAACTGAGTTGGTTTTGTACTTTCTGATCAATTTTTGCCTTCTTGGAGGTCTTGTTGCCCTACTGATGGATGATGCATGGGCTGCAGGGAGTGGAGTGACCAGCCTGAGTTCCAACTTGTCCTGAGTCTGTGCCTCAGAAGAATGGTCCTGGCAGTCTCAAAGTCTTCATGTTTGTGGTGCCAGGGGCCTCTTACACTGTGTTTTTTTGTCTCTCCACTCTTTAGTTTTTTGCAGTCTGTGTTCATGCTGGCAACTGTGATGCTCTACTTCAGTCACTACAAGGAATATGTGGCCTCCATGGTGTTCTCCTTGGCTTTGGGTTGGGCCAACATGTTGTACTACACCCGAGGCTTCCAGCAAATGGGCATCTATGCTGTCATGATTGAGAAGGTGAGTCTCTTATGCACAAGTGTGCCTCTCAGAGATCCCTGTTGACACCAAGTCAGACAATTTGGCTTTGGCCCAAGGGTGAGGACATTGGTGAAATCTGACCCCTCTGTTACCAGACACTCCTAGAATTGAAGGCCATAGAGGTGGATGACTCCTCTGTGGCATTTGGGTTTCAAAACATGAGCTCAAACCCTCTAGCATGCTCTCTCATTCTATCTGGGCTCAAGATAAACCTTTAAGTTGATGGAGTCCTGGCCCTTTCTTTGGCTTCTCCTCCCTAAGCTCTTTGGACCTTGCTTAACTCTGACAAGGCCTCTTCCTCTCTTTTACAGATGATCTTGAGAGACCTGTGCCGATTCATGTTTGTCTACCTGGTTTTCTTGTTTGGATTTTCCACAGGTAATATCGTTAGGTAGTGCTCTTAGGAAGTCAGAACTCCCACCTAATCTCAGTGTCCTGACAACTCTGCCAGGGTTTGGGCGGGGAGGAGCTGAATGGGATGCATACGTATGTGTCAGTTGGGGCCAGTGAATGTCTGCAGGGGACAGAGTTGATGGACAAAGAATCAAGAGAAATGAAACCATTTAGAAATTTGGTTCATAAAACATCTCAAGCAATTTTTGAGGTATGGCTTAGCTTTCTTTTACATTTTAAATTTTGACATTATTTTAGATATAGAAAAATGACAAGGCTGGTACAAAAAATGTCTTTAACATCAGTCCTCCTAATCTAAGTGCACAGGAGAGAAGAGGAAGGATCAAGAGTAACATCAGGGAAGGCAGATCCCTATATGGTGGAGATTGATATACCTCTTCTTTTCAATTTATTTAACCAAACCTGACACCCCTCCTATGGCATTCTTTACTTTTCTGGGTTTGATAATAGTTGTAGTGGCTGCACAGAACTAACAGACCCGAGTTATGGGGTTTATTAGGGAAGTACCAGGTTAAAACTCGAGATCAAGATCAAAAGACTATGATTTAAAGTCAAGATCAAGAATCTTGTAGACAAAGTCTCACTCCTACAGTGCAGGCTAAAACTCTCTTAGCTCCTTTCAGATGTACCAGGCTCACCTAGATCCCTTGAGGACAGGCTTTGTTTAGTCTCTTTAGGATATATTTTTTTCTTGGTCCTAGGTCCTCAGCCCTCAGTTGGCTTGGACAAGGGTTACAAACTTTTTTTTGTTTTGAAAAATCATTGCCAGTAAGTTCCCAGAGGCACCCTACTCTACCAGCAAGCTTTTTGCCTGAAGGCACATCACTCTTTCACACATGAGTTGGCACAACCACTGTAGCAGCTTTGCTCAGTGGTCTGGGAAGCCCACCAACTCTATCTCACTTTGGTCTCTTGATTCTGCTGCCATTGCTTCTCTGATGCTAGACTGCTGTGCTTGCCACAGTTTCTTGCTGTCTCTACTGTCACAAACTTCTGTCTCTTGGGTCTAGGAGTTTCTCAACACAGAGACCTTGGATCCAAAGGACACATTCCATTCTTCTTGATCTGGTAGGGAGGGCCCTCTGCTTTGGGGTTGATTTTAAGTCTAGCAGCCAGGAAATTAAAGGACATATTGCGATGGGAAAGTCTGCTGTTAGGGACCTCTCCAAAATACTGAGAAGCAGTGGTGTAACTCTGGAGACTAAGGTGTGTCTGATACAGGCCATGTTTTTTGCAATCACTTGTTATGCGTCTGAAAGTTGGACAATGACTAGGGAGGATAGAAGGAGAATCGATGCCTTTGAACTGTGGTGCTGGAGAAGAGTATTGAGGGTACCATGGACTGTTAGGAAAACAAACAGATTCATCCTGGAGAGGGTTAAACC